AGATCTTGAGCACTTTTTAACTTTCTGGCACAGGATGTTTCATTGTTAATCTTTTAGGTTTCTTGCCCAGCCCTGGAATCGGCCATTTCTCTAAGAGTTCCTGGTTCCTTTTAATGGCATTTAGTAACCACAATACAGACATTAGGAGTGCTCACTGCAACTGAGTTGTTACTTCTAGCCCCTTTCAGAGGACAGAATTAGGAATTGTGTGTGTGTGTGTGTGTGTGTGTGTGTGTGTATTCATACAGCTACTTACAATTCCAGTCTAACTCCAGTTTTCCCTTGCCTTTCTCCATCCCTTATTTACATTTCCGGACTCAGTCAGTATCCTGGTTCCCCAAAATATCAATATATGTACTCATTTGCACAAAAATAGTTTTTGTAAGTTATACCAAAACTACTTATTAACTCACGTTCTATCTCTCATTGTAACACAATCTCTCTTTTTCCCCTTAGAATGTACATCACTGTTTTCTTCTTTGTGGTCATATTATCAATGTTAGGGTTTTTGTTTGTATTTATTTTTATGTTTACCTCCTCCTACTTGTTGCTTTATTTTTGGAAACGTAAAACATTAAAATGATTCAAAGGTTCAGGATATAGAAATGTGTACGCACAGAGAAGAGACATTCCCAACTCCATCGCTTATCTCATTTCCCATCCACCTCTGAGTAATGTTCCATTTCTTGATCTGGATGTGGGGTTATACAGGTGTTCACAAGGCTGAACACTTATGATTGTAAATTTTTGTATATTTCATACACGAATGAAAAATTAAATGGACCCAGTGAGATGTGTCAGTCAGAGCAGCCTATCACCAAGTGTTACTGAATAAAGGGAATTATTAACAGAAATAAGATCTTGCACAATTGTGGGATGAGCTGGGAGAAGTAAGAGTCCAGAGAACAGTCACTGAGGAGTCTTCTCCAAGCATGGCAAGGTGGTTAAGTCAGAGACACAGGGGAATCAGGGAATCTCCATCTCAGCACTGGTGTGGGACCATGAAGGGGCTGGTGGAAAAGCTGATAGAATACTACCACTCTGCTTAGCTACCACTTCCGTAGGTCCTCAGCCAAGTACCTGGTGGCTGCACTGGAACCACTGAGGGACAGGGTTGGTAGGACGTAGGCCTCCTGTGCCCCTTTGGGCGGGTATCTTTTCTCTACCCTTTGGGGTCTATGCGGCCTTTTTATTTCAACTGATGCCTCCCATGTTCCTGCCAGTTGGCAAGGGCTTGTTCACTTTCTAGGTCTGCACTGCTGCGCCTCAGTGCAGCGTTCGTCTAGCAGAGACATCTCTGGTCTTGGATCCTCCACTGCTTCAGCAGTGCTGACCTTCTGGTATGAGGTCTCTTGGGACAGCTGGGTAGCTTCCTGGGCTCCAGGATGGGGGTTGTGGCCTCTTAGGCCAAATTACTCAAATAATTTGTCTGGGCCCTGACCGGATGGCTCAGTTGGTTGTAGTGTCGTCCCCATATACCAGAAAGGTTGTGGGGTCAGTTCCCTGTCAGGGTACATACCTAGGTTGCAGGTTCAATCCTGGTTGGGCCATGTGCAGGAGGCAACTGATGGATGTTTCTTTCTCACATCGATATTTCTCTCCCTCTAAAATTAATAAAACATATCCTTGGGTAAGGATCAAATAATAATAAAAATAATAATAATTTGCCGGGGCTTCCTAGATTCATTGAAGACACTGTCAAAAGCCAAGAAGTAGATGTAGTGAGAAGAAAAAAGAGCAAAGAAGGAGATGGGCCACAAAACTCCTAATCCAACCTGTGGTGTAGGGGAGGTGAGAGGGGCAGGGAGAGAGTGCTGCAGGCAAGTTTAAAGTAGACCGAATTTACCAAGAGCGGAAGGAAGGATGGTTCATCTCTTAGCAACGAATTTCCAAACAGGTGCCTTTAAAGTGGTACTAAGAAAGATGAGATTGAAAGATTGTAAGCAGAGAAGTTTTCTGGGGGCTAAAAGGTACTGGCTAATTTTGCTGTAAGGCAAATTTTTCACATCTCCAGAACTTTCCAAGAATTAATAGAAATGTCACTGCATAGATGTGGGTGTTGCAACACAGGTGAAAAGGTATTTAATTACAGATGCATAACAGGTAAGGGGGTATAGCTCAGGGGTAGAGCATTTGACTGCAGATCAAGAGGTCCCTGGTTCAAATCCGGGTGCCCCCTACTCCTTTGGTTTTCCTATTCATAGCTGTTGCCCATATTCCCGTTTCCTTTCAGCCATGCCAATTATGATCCTTCCTGAAATTAGAATTCTTCCAATTAGATCCTTCCTGAAATTAGCCCTTGCACAACTGCTTTCTGATATCCGGTGTTTCCCCCTCTTTATATATCTCATTTATCCAACTCTTTTGGGTCCTCAAAGAGAAGGCAGCGACTCTCCTACAGAATTTTGCTGGGCTTTTCCAGGGCAGCAGAAGAGAGCTGCAGATACAGCAGCTTTTGTAGGAACAAACAGTAAATGGGCAACCTAAATTGTTATCTCACCTTCCCACCGAAACAGCTTGGCACAGTGGAGTGGTGGTCAGACCTATGGAGACAAATCATAGCATCCAGGTTCTTCTCACAGGGTTGACATTTCCCTCTGGGGAGCTGGTTTCTCCACACCAGAACTCACTCACACACTTGCTTCAGCCTCAATGACCAAAAGGCTAGCTTAGCTACTCCAACAAGGGAAACCTAGATTTGCAGTGTTGCTCCTCCACAACCAAGTGTTGGAGCTCCGTGACACTGTCTGAATTCGAGCCCATTTCTGTCTTCCCTGGAGGAAGAAAGGTAAAGGACTGGGAGTCCAGATAGGTGGGTAGTTTTGGAGATGGTTAGGCTGCTCTTGGGCTAAAACAAACAAAAAAAAGCAATGGGAAATGTTTTGGGGTTTCTACAGGCAGCTTCTCTCATTTTTTCCTCTCTGATGACCCCACCCAGGAACTGAGGCTTAGAAGCTGCAGAACTGAGGGAAGGTGTCTTATTATGAGCTGGTCTGGCAGCTTCATAAAGTCAGTCCTGGAAGGGAGCAGTACTTAATTTTGCAGAGCCCAGTGTTACCACTCAGATGAAAGGCATCAATTAGGCTACATTAATATCTGAGGGGGTATAGCTCAGTGGTAGAGCATTTGACTGCAGATCAAGAGGCCCCTGGTTCAAATCCAGGTGCCCCCTTATGTGTAATTTTTAAATAGTCTTTCCAGCTTCCTTCGCAGCTCACCTTCCATCCTTCGTTCCTAGACAAGCACAACTTGGAGGTGAAGTCTTGAAGGAGGCTGGGGACTTCAGGAGAGCTACAGTCCAGTCATACTGATGGACTCACCAGATGTTAAGAAAAGTGGTTCCCTGCATACCCCTAGCAGCAATTGGAGCACTGCAGAGTTCCCAGGAACACCAGGTTTTGATTCTAAGTGTTAGAGATGCCCCGATGCCCGCTGGGGTGTTAGAGTGTGTCACCTTGGATAAATTGCTCAATCTCGTTGTGCCTCAGTTTCTGCATAACCTGGGAAAGGGATCATTCACCAGGGTGTGAACACCATCAGAAGCCTGCAAAAGATTGGGAAGCTGATTGGCTATTTTTAAACGCCTCTGGTTCATCCCAAGCCTGAGACTACATAATTTTAGATGAATCTCTCTCTTTCTCAGGACCTGCACCATGCAGGTCTAGCGGCCACCAGGGCCCACAAACCACATAGGCTTCTGAGGACTATAAAGCAGAAATCCTGTTCGCTGATTTTTATTTCAGCCATGCTGAAGACATGGTTGGACTTTTCCCAGGGCGGGACAGAGGGAAATGGGACGTGGGAAGCTCAGGGGCAGCCATCACCAATAAACCACCTTGCTGTATCACCATCTCCCGTGTGTGGATCCTTGAAATGCTTTTCTCGAATTCCCATGGAAGAGCCTGTCTCCCACCCATAGCAGGAATGTGCCTGTGACGTAATGTTGGAGGCACATGATTAGATTAGAGAGAGTCTGTGAGGAATGTGCTAGAATTCCGACTTTGTTCTGTGGTCAACAGGAGCCCTGCACACTGCAAAGAAGCAACAAGGTCAGTTCCTTTATTTGGGAACATCACTTAGGAGACATTACAGAGAATGGAATTTGCCAAAAGACAAGGATAAGGAACTAGCATTATATTTTTAAGCACTTACTATGGGCTAGTACTGTGCTGGGCAATTTATCTTAAGTTGTCATATTTGTCACAAGAAACTTGTCCCTACTTAAAATAAAGAAACGGGAGCTTATAGAGTTAAAGAATTTGCCCAATGACGCACACAGAGTAAGGAACCCAATGCAGAGGAGAAAAGGAATTCCAGAGAAAATTTTAGGATAAAATGATAAGACTTGGTAGCTGATAAAGATGGATCGGATGAGGAATAATGTGAGAAAGTAGAGTTAGATAATGATTACTTTTGTCCAAAGTTAAATACAGCAGTGGCTAAGGGGAAAGTGGGAAACCTATTGTAATTTAGGATAGAGACTTTTGTGTGCTTTTGGCTGCGGAAGGAGCAGGATTGAGAAATAACTGAATTCAGTTATGGGTCAGGAGTATAGACTGAGTGGCTCACTTTGGAAGTGGGAGGGGAGTGTTTTTTCTCTGAGATGGAAGCAAAAAGGGTAAGGACAGCTGAAGACAGGTGTCAAGGAGCTGAAGTCTAGCTGCTTCCATTCTCTGTTAAGCAGAGGTAATGTCTTGTGAGGGGACAGAAGTGGGTGAGGAAGTCATTGATGTGGCTGCAATCCAGACAAAGGGATCGGATGGTCTGTGATGGAGAGGAGTGTAGTTTGACTGGAGCTGTGATCTGGTTCTGCACCTCTCCGAAGTCTACCTTTTGTGGGCGCTGAGAACATTGCTCTCCCCCAGGTACACTTGTCCCCACCCCGGTCAACACAGGAAATGTGCTAATGTTTTTAGCTCCTTATTTTTTTATTCTATGCAAAGCCCAACCCAAAGAGTCCAGGTTTCTCTCAGGAGTAGACAAGGTTACTGGTTCCCTTGTGTACGTCCTGGTTCCACTTTCTGTCAGCCACACACTAACCATCTTTTGGGTAATCCCCTCTGCAGACGAATCCATTAGCTCAATATATACTTGTGGGTTTTACCAGTTGTAGCCAGGGTGCAGGGAGCTCAGGCCTCAGTTCTGAGGGTCTTTTCCTAGAGTCCTCAAAAGGAGACAATAAAGGAAAGAAAAAGAAACTAGAACTTGCAGGACAAAGAAGGTAGGAAGTTTAAACCAAAATACTATCAGTATTAATATTAAGTATAAATGTATAAAAAATGCCACAGTGAAAAGACAAAGAATGTCATGGATTAAAAAACATCAATTCAACTATATGTTGTTCACAGGAGACACATATAAAATATAATGATAGAGATATTAAAAATAAAAGGCCAGAAAAAATACACTAAAGACAATAATACATAGTGTGGCTATATTAGTACCAGACAAAATAGTTTTGAGGTGAAAAGGGATTTTAAGAAAGTCATTGTATAGTGATAAAAAGTTCAATTCACCATGAAGGTATGGCAATTCTAAATTTGATACACTCAAAACATATTAAATATAAATGAACAGGATTAAAAAAGAGAAGTGGGTATACCCACAATCATGTGAGATATTTCAAAATCCCTCTCCTGTGAATTGATAGAACAAGCATACATAATATCAGAAGAATATAGAATATATTAACAAATTTGACCTAATTAATGTGTAAAGACCCTTACACTCAGCAATTGCAGGACTTGCCTTTTTTTCCTAAGTGCACATGGTACACTGACAGAATTGACTGCATACTGAACATAAAGCAAGTCTTAACAAATTCCAAAGTGTTTAAATCACAAAGACTATGCTTTCTGACTAAAATAACATTAAGCTATAAATAAATAACATTAAAAAAATTACAAAATCCAACAAATAACTAGAAAACCCCCACATGTGTGGAAATTAAAAATTATACTTCTAAATAACGGATGGAGCAAAGCAGTAATTGCAATTAAAATAGGAATTATAAAATATTTTTATTTAAATAATGATGAAAACACTAGATATTGAAACTGTTCAGTTGCAACTACAGCAGTACCCAGAGGGCAATTTATAGCCTTACTGTATTTACAATATTATGAAGAGAAAAGGTAAAAATTAACTAACTAAGCATCTATCCCCAAAAGGCATGAACTGGACAATAAAATAAACCCAAAGAAATAAGGAAGCAAATAATAAAGATTAATGAATGAAAGCATAAATTGGTGAAATCGAAAACAAATATATTAGATAGGGCCAATAAAGCAAAAATTGTTCTTTGAAACAAATAATGACAATAACCCAGACAAGACTGACAAAGTGAAGAGAAAAAACACTAATAACTAATATAAGGAATTGAAAAGGACATATTATTACAATTTCCAAAGCTGTTAAAAAGATCATAAGACAATGTTATGAGTGACTTTGTGCCAATTTAATGTAATATTGAGATGGCATTGAAAATTTCCTAGAAAAATGTAACTTACCTGAATAGAGAGGAATTCTTTGTCTGCTAGATGGTTCCTGGTTCTCTCTTCCTCCTCTAGTTGTTTTAGCAGGACTAAACTGGTTCAAGGGAAAAATACAAGATTATAGTTGATACTGGTCCTAGTATGCCAATTTCCTATGCAATTAATGGCAAAGCTCCACACTCTCCTGTTTTCCAGTGAAGTCATTTCCTTTACCAAAAAGCTTCCACTGTTATGTAGTTCCTCCAAACTTCCCCGTAAATATATGCTGTGCTAGAGGAAGAATGTCTTCTGGAATACTCAGGAGGGTGTATCCAATTGTCTCCAGCCCAAGAACATGTTTTCTTGGGATAGAGAAAATTTGGGTAATTATAGACATCCTAATGTGTTGCTTATAATTTCTCTCTAATAAATCTGACTTTACACTTACACTAATTGAGATGTCCCCATCCTCTGGCTTAGATTTACCAAAATTGATACAAGAAGAAATCAAAATCATGAATTATCCTTTAACAACTGAAGAAAATGAATTCATAATGAAAAATTTTACCATTAAAAAGAAACACTATTCTAGGCACAGATCATTTCAACATATGTTATACCAAACACTTAAGAAATAATGTAAATTATTATTTTTATATCTTATGTGAACACTTCTGGAGAATAAGAAACAAGTGGTACCTTTACCAACTCATGAGATTAGTTAAATTTGATATAAAAAATAACAAAGACAGTAAAAGAGAAAACAATAGTCCAATCTCACTTATTAACATAGATTTTTTTTTTATTTTTTGTTTTTGTTTTAATGGATGTTTTATTTTAGAATAGTTCCAGATTTACAGAAAAATTGTGAATAACCATGTACACCATACACAATTTCCCTTATTACTAATATCTTACTTATGTATGGGACAAATGTAACATGAAGTTAATCATCAGTGAAACAGGAACATTGAAACCTCACTTCTCTAGTACATCCAATATCCAGCAATTCTGGTCTAGACCAATTTCTTTTTTTTTTTATTTTATTTTATTATATATATATATTTTTTTAATTTTTATTGCTTAAAGTATTACAAAGGGTATTACATATGTGTCCATTTTATCCCCCCGCCCTAGACAGTCCCCTAGCCTCCCCTATCCCCCAATGTCTTATGTCCACTGGTTATGCTTATATGCATGCATACAAGTCCTTTAGTTGATCTCTTACCCCCCTACCTCCTGCCCCGCAACCCTCCCCAGCCTTCCTGCTGCAGTTTGACAATCTGTTTGAGGCAGCTCTGCCTCTGTATCTATTATTGTTCAAAAGTTTATAATGGTCTCTATTATCCATGAATGAGTGAGATCATGTGGTATTTTTCCTTCATTGACTGGCTTATTTCACTTAGCATAATGCTCTCCAGTTCCATCCATGACGTTGCAAATGGTAAGAGTTCCTTCCTTTTTAGAGCAGCATAGTATTCCATCATGTAGATGTACCACAGTTTTCTGATCCATTCATCTACTGATGGGCACTTAGGCTGTTTCCAGATCTTAGCTATGGTGAATTGTGCTGCTATGAACATAGGGGTGCATATATCCTTTCTGATTGGTGTTTCTGGTTTCTTGGGATATATTCCTAGAAGTGGGATCACAGGGTCAAATGGGAGTTCCATTTTCAGTTTTTTAAGGAAACTCCATACTCTCTTCCATAGTGGCTGCACCAGTCTGCATTCCCACCAGCAGTGCACAAGTGTTCCTTTTTCTCCACATCCTCTCCAGCACTTGTCGTTTGTTGATTTGTTGATGATAGCCAGTCTGACAGGTGTGAGATGGTACCTCATTGTTGTTTTGATTTGCATCTCTCGGATGATTAGTGACTTTGAGCATGTTTTCATATGTCTCTTGGCTTTCTGAATGTCCTCTTTTGAAAGGTGTCTATTTAGGTCCTTTGCCCATTTTTTGATTGGATTGTTTATCTTCCTTTTGTTAAGTTGTATGAGTTCCCTATAAATTTTGGAGATTAGGCCCTTATCAGATATGACATTGGCAAATATGTTTTCCCACACAGTGGGTTTTCTCGTTGTTTTGTTGATGGTTTCTTTTGCTGTGCAGAAGCTTTTTATTTTGATGTAGTCCCATTTGTTCATTTTCTCTTTCGTTTCAAGTGCCCTAGGAGCTGTATCAGTGAAGAAATTGCTTCGGCATATGTCTGAGATTTTGTTGCCTTTGGATTCTTCTAGAATTTTTATGGTTTCCTGTCGTACATTTAAGTCCTTTATCCATTTTGAGTTTATTTTTGTGTATGGTGTAAGTTGGTGGTCTAGTTTCATTTTCTTGCATATATCTGTCCAATTTTCCCAACACCATTTATTGAAGAGACTATCTTGGCTCCATTGTATGTTCTTGCCTCCTTTGTCAAATATTAATTGAGCATATTGGTTCGGGCTGATTTCTGGGCTCTCTATTCTATTCCATTGATCTATATGCCTATTCTTGTGCCAGTACCAGGCAGTTTTGAGAACAGTGGCTTTGTAATACATCTTGATATCTGGTATTGAGATCCCACCTACTTTGGTCTTTTTCAGGATTGCTGCAGCTATTCGGGGTCTTTTTTTATTCCAGATGAATTTTTGGAGAGTTCGTTCTAGATCTCTGAAGTATGCCATTGGTATTTTAATGGGAAGTGCATTGAATTTATAGATTGCTTTGGGTAGTATGGACATTTTAATGATGTTGATTCTACCAATCCATGAACACGGTATGTTCTTCCATCTGTTTATGTCTTCCTCTATATCATTTTTCAACGTCCTGTAGTTTTCTGAGTAGAGGTCTTTTACCTCTTTAGTTAAGTTTATTCCTAGGTAGCTTAATTTTTTTGGTGCGATGGTAAACGGGATTGTTTTTATAATCTCTCTTTCTGAAAGTTCACTATTGGTGTATAGAAATGCCTCGGATTTCTTGGGGTTAATTTTGTATCCTGCTACATTGCCAAATTCATGTATTAAGTCCAGTAGCTTTTGGATGGAGTCTCTAGGGTTTTGTATGTATAATATCATGTCGTCTGCAAATAAGGACAGTTTTACTTCCTCTTTTCCAATTTGGATGCCTTTTATTTCTTCTTCTTGCCGAATTGCAATGGCTAACACTTCCAGTACTATGTTGAACAGGAGTGGTGAGAGGGGGCATCCCTGTCTTGTTCCTGTTCTTAGGGGAAATGGTGTTAGTTTTTGTCCATTGAGTATGATGTTGGCTGTGGGCCTGTCATATATGGCTTTTATTATGTTGAGGTATGATCCTTCTACTCCCACCTTGCTGAGAGCTTTTATCAAAAATGGGTGTTGAATTTTGTCAAATGCTTTTTCTGCATCAATTGATATGACCATGTGGTTTTTTTCTTTCAATTTGTTTATGTGATGTATCACGTTTATTGATTTGCGGATATTGTACCATCCTTGCATCTCTGGGATAAATCCTACTTGGTCATGGTGTATGATCTTTCTGATGTACTGCTGGATCCGATTTGCTAAGATTTTGTTGAGGATTTTGGCATCTATGTTCATGAGGGATATTGGCCTGTAATTCTCTTTCATTGTGTTGTCTTTACCTGGTTTTGGTATTAGGGTGATGCTGGCTTCATAGAATGAGCTTGGAAGTGTTCCTTCCTCTTGAATTTTTTGTAGTAGTCTGAGGAGGATAGGTTTTAGTTCTTCCTTGAATGTTTGGTAAAACTCCCCTGTGAAGCCGTCTGGTCCTGGGCTTTTGTTTGCTGGAAGCTTTTTGATGACTGCTTCAATTTCTTCCATAGTTATTGGCCTGTTGAGATTTTTAGATTCTTCCTGATTGAGTTTTGGAATGTTGTATTTTTCTAGGAATTTGTCCATTTCCTCCAGGTTGAACATAGATTTTTTTAAAAAGTATTTTTTTTATTGATTTCAGAGAGGAAGGGAGAGGGAGAGAGAGATAGAAACATCAATGATGAGAGAGAATCATTTATCAGCTCCTTCCTGCATGCCCCCTACTGGGGATGGAGCTTGCAACCTGGGCATGTGCCCTGACCTGGAATCAAATTGTGGTCTCCTCGTTCATAGGTCAACCCTCAACCACTGCGCCACACCAGCCGGGCTTAACATAGATTTTTAAACAAAAGTATCAGTAAATCAAATAACTATCTTAACATAGGACTGTTAACACTTTTAGGGATTCCTAAATCTATTCAACCACATACTTCGTATTTCTTGGAGTGGATCATTCTCTATATTAACGGAAGAAGTGGAAGTATAGTTCAGTAGAAAGTAACCGGAATGGAATGTCAGCCTCATTAAATGGTTTTGGACAGACACCTCAGTCAGGTGGAGTTTCTGTTTTTCAGGTACCCACCAAGCAAACAAGCGTTTGACTTGAAGGCTATTCTAACAGCCAATGTCAGTGCTTCCCCAGGTTGCTGCTCACACCCAGGGACTGTAGCCCAGGACACAGGCTGTAGGCCTTTTGAGGAGAGTGCCTGAATCTTGTACAGCAGGTTGATGAGTTTTCACTGAAGCAGGTCTGAAAGCTCCCAAGAGAGGTTCATCCTACAGTGGCAACTCATAAATTTAGAGGTAATCTGGGTGTGGCTATAGAGAATAAAGGTATTAATTAAGTCATACTATAGCAGAAGGGGGTATAGCTCAGGGGTAGAGCATTTGACTGCAGATTAAGAGGTCCCCAGTTCAAATCTGGGTGCCCCCTATTTATTCCTAATTTTGGTCTTTGAAATAGTGCTGTATTTCAATTTCATCTTCCTTACAAGACATCAGTGTAAAGATTTTTTTTCTTCTGGAACCAGCAAATGACGAGACTTAATGTGATAGTCGGTGTTTCTGAACTCCAAATATAAATTAGAATCACCAGAGAGTTCATAAAAGCGCCATTTCCCAGACCCCACCCCAGACCAATTAGTTCTGAATGTCTGGGGTGGAGCCCAGGGATGGTAAATGCTCCCCAGGGCTCCTGGTCTATAGCTAAGTTGAGAACCAGTGTTAGAGCTTCCTGGAAGCCTTCTCAGACCCATGTTACCTCTTCCCACTCTGTCTGCCCAGCATTTGTGTTCTGGATCTCTTCTCATTCATCCTATGT